ACCAATCCAGTCATATCAATATTCAGAAATGACGGGGTCCGAACATATATTCGGAAGGTCGTCAATACATTGAGAAACGTTCGATGTTTTCTGGCTAGCAGTTGCAAGTAATGAGTAGCACGGCGTTCACACTTGTGATCTGATGCGGGTGCGTAACTAAGCGCCTACAGCTAGGGTGTGCCAAGTAAAACTAATGACGTCAACATAATCGTCGAAACATACAGAACTATTTATTTTGGAAATATATTTGTCGGTAAACATTCTTAGAGATTGGGGATCGTATTTCATTGCAATCTACATATACGTTTATTCCGAGCATTTGACGAATGGTTTGTTGGTAATGGGGTTAAAATCATCATGTATGGAGTTGTTAATAGACTCTGTTTTTCTTTCTATTGCAGGGCAACCAAGAATACATGATTTAAAAGAATAAGAAGAAGAGCAAGCTCTGCATGCATTGAACCTACAAGAAGGCTCATAACGGTGTTTTCAAAACAAGCTCTCCCTTCTGTACATAACCCGCGAATCTTAATTTCCAAAATAAACGACCGGTAGTTTCCATTCCGTGTTTTCTCTCTACTGTGAAGTTCTCGGTTAATATTGTGTGTGTTGTGGTTTTAGATCTTCCCGCCTTTCAGTGACTGCTCATTCCACGTGTTACAATTGGTGATGGAGGTATCTACGGAAAAACACCACAAGAATTTAGACGAACCCTCTGTGATTCCAATCAAGACTGCACCTGGTTCAACCTCTTGCCAACCACCACTGCTCGAAACTTCGTCAGATTACGCTGTCCGGAAATTTAAAGTTACAGCGTATCTACAGAGAATTCCGCTGACCGAACATTTCAACTACGTCGTATCCTATTTGAATGATGAAGCAGTACGAAGGGCTACAGCCAATCGTTTCGCGGCAAGTAACACGCTTCCACAAAACTGCGGGATCTTAGATGACTGTTTTTCTGTGCTCGTGGACACCCAAAAGGTAGCGATCCAGTTTTTATCACGTCACCAAAAAGCAAGCAAGAACCCAATCGACTACCTTAATTCCTTGCAGCAAATCGCGGTACAGGTATTCCTTCGTTTAGATGTCGAGACGAGAAGAGTTAGTATGTTCACTTTTTGTCGAAGGGCTGGTACCGGGTCCACTAAGAGAACATTTTCTCCGAAGCCCACCTATTGATACGCCTGACTTAAAAAGAACAACACTGCGTTTTCTGGCTGCAGACAAACTAGCGACTCTATCAGATGCACATCCAACATCAGTGATGACTGTGGAACGAGCCACAGAATCTAGTGACCTGGACAGGTTTCAGAAAACAGTGGCTGTTACCGACTTTTCCAGCCGGGTGCCAGCCGCGGGCAGCCAAGTTCGAGATGGAACAGACGACCAGCGTGGAGCAACTACCATGGGCGTCAAGCCTAATGTATATATTGCAAGAGGTTTGTCAGGAATACCAGAAGATGCGGCTACAATTGTTCCCGTAAGCAAGGTAAGCGGCGTCTTTGCTATTTATCTTCTTATGTTAATCATGTCAACCCGATTACGTTTAGGGGTAGAGTGCGAAACGTTGAGGTAGAAATACCACTAGACACGGGAGCTTCGGTATCTCTTATCAAGGAAGAGCACTTGAGGAAACTTAACCATAAAACTCAACAAATTCGATGTCATTCTACGTTACTCACAGTATGTGGGGGCCCACTGAAGGTGTGTTGTAAGGCATGATTAAACCTCACGATTGAAAAACATCAGTTTTGGTATGAATTATTAGTTTGTCCAACATTTAATTGGGATGTGATTCTCGGCGTTGATTTCATGTTAAAACACGAAGTCTCTATATTCATGGATTGACCGAAAGCAAAAATTGATGAGACTATAGTACACCTGCACCACTATGATATGCCAACTAAATCTATAGCCGATGTGGGGATTTTAGAACTTGTACGTCACATACATAGTAATCAAGTAATCACAGAGAACGATCGTCGCGCAACGATTGCTGTGCTCCAGCAGATTAAATCTGTGTTTGAAGAAGGCATTTCCGGAAATTGGACAACTACGGTGCAACCCCCCATCTTCACAGGTGACCATATGCCACTTCGACAGCCATCTCGCAGGGTACCAGTGCACTACCAACCACAACTTGATGCAATGATGAAAGATGTGCTAAACAAAACGATCATAGTTCCTTCATTATCTCCCTGGGCATCACCTATTGTCCTAGTGAAAAAGAAAGACTCCTCTCTATGACCCTGAGTAGATTATCGACGCCTTAATGCCATAACAAAACGTGATTCTTTTCAGCTTCCGCGGATCGACGCTACACTAGACGCCTTGAAAGGCGCATGTTGGTTTTCAACTTTGGACCTAGCATCTGGGTATTGGCAAGTAAAAGTCCGACCGCAAGATAGGAAGAAAACCGCATTTATAGTTCCAAATGGTTTATATGAATTTTAGGTAATGCCTTTTGGTTTAGCGAATGCTCCGGCTACTTTCCGAACACTAATGCAAACAATTTAACGAGACATAGTACCCCACAAATGCTTGATATATCTTGACGACATTATTGTGTACGGTAGCACACCCGAACAACACAATACTAATCTGAAAGCAGTTTTTTCAGCGTCTTAGACAACACAATTTAAAAGTAAAACCATTAAATGTCGCCTGCTGAAGAAAGAAGTAATCTTCCTGGGATATTGTATCACTGCAGATGGGGTAGGCACAGATAAAGAAAAGACATATGTGATTGTTAATTGGCCGTAACCAAAAACCCTCGAAGACGTTCGTAGCTTCCTTGCGCTAGCTTCTTATTGCAGACGCTTTGTTCACGACTTCGCATCACTAGCAACACCTTTGCATCGGTTAACACACAGAAGACGAAAATTTTTATGGACCAGCGAGTGTCAACAGGCGTTCGATGCTTTGAAAGCACGGTTAACTCCCCCACCTAAATTAGCCTTCTCGGATACTTTGGCAATCGAAGGCGAATTTATAATTGATACGGATGCTAGTTCCTCGTTTATTAGAGCAGTTCTATCACAAGTCGCTCGAGATGGACACAAAAGGGTCATTGCGTATGCTAGTCGACGACTAGATAAAAGTGAAGCACAGTATTCCACAACACGTCGAGAGATGTAAGCACTAGTATAATTCTAACAACACATTCGTCATTATCTACTGGGCAAACCCTTTCGTGTGCACACGGAACACCGTGCATTACAGTGGCTCCGCTCTATCCGCCAACCAGAAAGGCAAGTGGCACGCTGGCAATGAGGGCTACAAGAGTTTGATTTCACATGCGAGCATCGGCCGAGAAACCGACATACAAACGCGGATGCCCGTTCCCGAATACCTCAGACCACAGATACTTCTAATGCAATTCTTAGTACGGCTCTGGAGACCGATTGGCCCTCCCTGCAAGCAACAGATCCGGGCCTGCAGACTGTTTATAAAAGACAGTTACATATAAACAATAAGCCATCCATGAAGGAGTTAAAAGATCAGCCCTTAACAACTCATAGTATTTGCGCTAAATGGAGCAATGCCTTTTAGCATATCACACGTCGGTACACGGGAACACGGGATTCGCACCTGCTATTTCATTGTTCGGGCACGAATTACGCTTACTGGTAGCAGTACGGTCGCCCCTGCTGCTCTGCAAAGAACAAGAGCATGTACCGTACATACATACCCTCTGCAACCGCCTAGCTGATGGATACCGCCTGTAAAACATTAACTTGCGCAAGGCTAGAGGACACCGAAAAGACATGTACGATCGTCAGGCGCAAGGGCCGATGTATGCAGTTTGAGATCGCGTCTGGCTACGCAGCTCAATGACATCGTTAGGGAGTTGCAGTAAATTCCACCAGCCCTGGCAAGGTCCTTTCGAAATTGTCTTCATCCGTTCCCTCTCTACGTTTGTATTGCGCAATATACAACGGCCTAAAGACGACGTGATAACGGTACACTACAACTAAATAAAACCGGACCGGATGATAGTCCCCTTCGACACTCAGTTCGCCGACCAACCGCCGGCCACCAGATTTTATGAAGCGCCATCAGAAGGAGGAACAGCAAACCTTTGCCCAAGACCAGGCACTGAGGACAGTGCCTCGTTAGGAGAGGGGGCGATGTAACGAGATTAAAATCATCACGTACGGTATTGTTGATAGATTCTATTTTTCTTTTCATTGCGGGGCAACCAAGAGTAAGTGCTTTAGAAGAAGAAGGAGAGCAAACTCTGCATGCACTGAACCTAAAAGATGACTCATAAGACTGTGAGGATACCACAGGTATTCGGAGTTTGACAACGCCTTAACCAGTAACACCTAATATGAATCGTACCCACCAAATGAAATCAAAAGACAGAAACGAGGAGGTTCGAAGATATATTTGATAGGCTATCAATATATCGAGGATCGTCTGATCTAATGTGGCTAGCGATTGCAGGGGGTTGTTGAGCACGCCGTTCCCACTCGTGATCTGGTGCGAATGCATGACTGAGCGCCTTCAGCTAGGTGAGTACATTAATACTAATGTGATCAGCATCCAATGTCGAAGATTTACAGAGCTATTTAGTTTGGGGATTTATTTGCCGCTACAACTGTTTTGTAAACTAGATCTTCCTTCTGCACATAACCCGCGAATCTTAATTTCCAAAATAAACGACCGGTAGTTTCCATTCCGTGTTTTCTCTCTACTGTGAAGTTCTCGGTTAACATTGTGTGTTTTGTGGTTTTAGATCTTCCCGCCTTTCAATGACTGATGATTACACGTGTTACATATTACAAAAAACCACGAAAGATAGGAACAGATAAGTACGTACATATGTCCGGGGAAATAATGCGGATTTTCCTCTTTATGTCGCTGTGTTTCAAATGTCGCTGAATTGTCTACTTTTCGTCTAAATACACACCAAATTTCGCCTAACTATACGCCTAAACGTTTAGGCGAAAAGTAGACATATGCGAGGAAGCAGACATGTTAGCGCGTTTCCCTATTATTTCCCCATTGTTCGTCTTTATTTACCCCTTATCGGTTGATTGGGATGTTTCATTAGCAATTAGAGAACCACTTTTTTTTACTCGTTCCACAATCACATCAAGGACAGTATGCAAGTGTTTTTAACCCAGCTCTTAATATTTGCAACATATCCGCCATGGTAATCCGAATTTTGGAGACATATGGGCCACTACCCAACTAGTTGATTAGTCTGTTAGTATAGTATTGTTTCACTCCTAATTCTTAGATACGGATTGATATTCTATCCCATTGTATAATACGATTAAGTGACGGGATTGTCCCACCGTTCGTAAACAAGACCTTGTGAAAAACTCTACTGGAGTCCCATGGGAAAAATACATGTCAGTAATAAAGACAGGCCAATCGACTTACGTTAATCCTTGCAATCTTAAGTACAGTCGAGATCCAGTATCGCTTTGAATGTATTGACAAAAGGTTCTGATATTACGCGTTCTAGTAAAAAAATCCAGTAACTTACTGCTCGGTGCAAGAAACGGAGCTGTAGACGTAAGCGATTTGGTCTCGGTTTTCGAACCTCAGAATGTTCTCTCAGATGATCGGTCGTAGATTAAAGTAAAAGATAAGAGGTCAATACCAAAATCATCGTTCAGTGTATGGTAAGCCAGTATTAGATCACCTCGTAATCTGCGGTAAGATAACGGAAAATGTTGAGGCATCTCAGACCGTTTTCATAAGATGGGCTAAAGGGGCTTCTTACTATTTCTATTTACCGTTGAACTCGTCCTAACATATTCATCTCATACTTGGAATGAGGACTGCTTGGATCCCATATTTCAAATGCGGGCTCACAAGATTCGGGTATAATACCCTAGACGTTTTTTCGTCCAAGAGATAAAATGAATTACTAGTAGCTCATAATACCCTGAAGTCTTTGGCAGCAGAAATATTGTAGTTACTCGTAGTTTTAAGGTCTTAGTTCATTGAGTCCTAGGTCTTTATAATCCATAACACAACTCCACGTATCATGTAGTAATATGAATCGTTGCAGTTATTTATTTGCATCACCACACTCTAGTTACAATTAACTTTTCATGTCCGCCTACTCATTCGTTCAACCAGCGGATTTCGATCATCCTGTAATATTATTCTATCTGGCATACTGTGTATGGGTTTCCAAATCTTAATGTCATCTGCAGAGCAAAACAGACAAGTTTGCTGCAGTTGTTAAATCATTTATATACAGTAAAGAAAGAAGAGTATGGAGGATTTTACCATCAGGAAGTCCACTTTTTACAGATTCCCACGTCAATAGAATCCTATTTACTGATGCATTTCCTTAACACTACATCCGGTCTACCTTACAAAAATAAATGAGTCAAGTGATTTCTGCACAACCGATCCTGAGCATATAGGTAGTGTAATCTCGGTAAATAATGTTGTGTTGATTGACTTTCACTTGTGGATGTGATTATCATCCCGAAGACCACTTTCCGATCATATGACTGTAGGTTTAATCTTTTGGACAGATTAGAACCTTCATTTATCATTTTTCGCTGCACACTTGGCTCGTCATAATTTTTCTTGTGTCATAAGCTGGTCTAACAGTTCAAACATTTGAACACTGGTAAATTCTTGATTAAAACCTAAAAATATGGGCTTTCCCTTTTATGTTATTTAATATAGTTTGTTTTGGGGAAAAATAAGTGGATTAGATTATAGGTGATAACTAGATGGTTTCGTGGTAGTACGGAGCTATAACGAACGGTTTTTAACCTTATGGCAAGCGCGCTGGTGAGTTGCTGATGTACAAGATAGCTTGTTAAAAATAGAGCAGTGGCTTAGTGATCAAAGCGTTTAACTTTAAACTCGTAGATCACAGGTTTGACTTAATCTAATTCTGTATGTGCAACCCAGTGGTATCATTAGCCGTTGCATAGTAAACATGGTCCGAAACATGAATTTGTACATTGCTAGATATAATGGTTACCTACCTTATATTTTAGTCCAATAACTGCTCCCATTGCTAGGAGAGAACCTAGTGTGATTTATGAAAGCCTCGTGTGGATAGTTAAAATTTGTCAAAAGTCGCTTATTATGTTGGAGCTATCAAGTGAGCAATGATGATATTACTTGTGGAGTCGAGGTTTTAAACTGTTTAAGAAAGCGGGTGGGGAATATTTTGCCACTTTGCTTGAACTACGATGGAAGCTTTTATAAGAGTAGGTTGGAAAAAACCAGAGCCAAACCAGTACATAACATCAGCCTATAAAGCTGCTTGCCCTTAGTTTTCACAGCAAATATAATCCACTTTATAAGTGACCTCTAAAGCACCTGCTCGTTGTCGTAAATGTGAGGTTATGTGGCTAAAGATTGTTTTCAGTGCTGCAAGTGAACTCGTTCTTTATGTTTTCACAATTGTTAAGCAACTTGTTACTACACACTCTACCAGCTATCTTCACGTTTCTGTTTTCGTTTCCTTTTTCCTAATGTTATCATTATTATATTCCAGATTATTATAAATGGCTTCCGAAGATTGTGACGATATATTTGGACGCCGATATCTTACAGATGCTTCTGATGTTTATGAGTGGAATGCTTGGTAAAAATTAGGACGAAAAAACTCAACTTTTTCTCTAGGGATGACGTTCAGTGGACAGAAGAGCAGGAAAATTTAGCAAAAGAAATAATACTTTTGAATAGTACTGTTAGACTCCCAGATGATTCTCAAGGTTTTTTCAAGCTATTGCTCATTTTTAATGTTTAGAAAGAATTGAGATCCTTGCACATGAATACTGGGACAAGTTTTATTCCCATCATGAAGATAGATTTTTCAAGGACAGAAATTGGTTAGAAAAAGAGTTCCGTGAATTATTTTCTTCAACGTGTGAGTTATTGCCCTTTTTAATTTTTTTTAGCACCTAGTGTGCACATAATGGAGGTCGGTTGTGGTGTGGGAAATACAATATTTCCAATATTACGCGCTGTAAAGTATACGATATTAAAATATCTATAGTCAGTTTAGGAGTCCTGGACTGTTGATATATGCATCAGATTTCTCTGAAAAGGCTCTATCTATACTCAAAGTAAGTCCATGTTTGATGTAGCTATTATCACTAAGGGATCCAAAGGATATGACGCTGATCGTTGTATTACTTTCCAGCATGATATAACCAAAACTAATGATGAGATCCCTTGTCCTAGAAATAGTTTGGATTTTCTTGTCTTAGTGTTCGTATTATCAGCAGTTAATCCTGAATTGTAAATATTTCTACCTTAATCGCAAATAATTTTTAGGTTTCACCGTACGCTTAAAAATCTTGTTACGTATTTAAAACCCGGAGGTGTGCTATTGTTTCGAGATTATGGAAGGTTTGATTTAGCTCAGCTAAGATTTAAAAATGGCCAGTGTTTAAAAGACAACTTTTATATGAGATCAGATGGGACAAGAGTTTACTTTTTCACTCAAGGTTAGTTTGGGAAATCCCAACAGATTATGTTTTGATTTTCATGCAGATGAATTACACAAATTATTTACGGACGTTGGTCTAGAAAAGATTCAGAACAAGGTTGATCGCAGATTAATCGTAAATCGCAAAAAGAAGTTAAAGATGTACAGAATTTGGATTCAATGTAAATATAACAAGGTATAATGTGTCCTCTGTAATATTTTTCTATTGTTATTTCCTATTTTGGGTGGTAATAGTTCTGATAAAACACTTGATGTGGTAGGCATTCCGTATATCACTCTGTCTGCATTTTATTCACTTATTTTAACAATCTAAAACTCGTCCGTTCACTAAATCACCAAGTCCACATCCAGAACAGTGAATACTGGGATTTGATTGTTAGGATTTACAAACTGTTCGTTTACCGAATCCTCTACTATAACAATGAAAATAGGGATAAAAGTCGTTTTTTAAGATGTCCATTACTTTAAATGAGTGCAAGTCGTTATTAATTCACATAATGCAATTAAAAAATGGACTTATCATAATACTTGTAAATTAATCGAAATCTGGGCATTCACAAAGTGTTAATTCAAAGTCAAATGCCATTCAGAAAGGATGGATCATGGATGAAAGCGTCACTCCATCCAGTGGTGCAGTGGTTTCAAGTTATGCTACGATAAAGACTGTAGATAGTTGTGAATTTTCTGGCAGTTCGAAATCAGTTATGGTGTAAAGTACGAATACGCCATTTCCAGAAGAAATTCATACTTACCTATTTAAAAGGTACAGAGGTTGCCTATGAAATATGTACACTTATTCTTCAGTCTTTCATTTGGATCTATTGTGTTGTAGACTATCTTCTATAGTTTCCCTTCTGGCTTCAAGTAATTCGAACTCGCCGCGTTTTTGGCTTCCTTGTACTCCTGTCTTCAGCTGTCGACTTCAGCAACTCCCATTCGACGCTCCGCTGCATACTACTTTAAAGCAATTTTTTGGATAGTGTCTATCACAACGCGATTGAAGTCATAATTTCTTGAAAATTCTTCAACTTCAAGATCAAAAACTTCAATAATGTTGTCACAATATTAACCAAGTCTACAAGATATGCACCGTATTATTACGCACAAGCCGTACATTAAACAATTACACAAGAGTCATAAATGTCCCCAGTCACAGGATAAACAATTTGAGTGCTCGCACTGTTACAGATCGAATGATGTGATCAACGATCTCATCTTAAACAGGAAGGAGGTGAAATTAAAAATTTATCCCGCCTCGATAATCAGGCAATAAAAGAGAGTTGTCTTGAATTTCATATCAATTATAAGGTTTCTATTTGTATACGGAACAGAAACATGATCTTCATTAAAGTTGAATAGTTCATAAAACAATGCAAAAGAATCACCGTTTTCCCAGTACCATGACATAAAGTCACATGACGTTCTGTTTTGGAGGTCATATTGTGGGAATGAATTAAGCTTAACGCAGTTTTTAATTCAGTAAAGAGTGTATGACCCACAAAACTGATTTTTCCCGATCCCTTAGATCATCCAATGACGTTTACTTTTTATCAATAATTTGCATATAAACATGTTCTAAAAAGCTATTTCCTTGGCTAATAGTCTTGTTTTTGATATCAGCTCATAGTTCTTTTTTAAATTTAATTTCCCATTCTAGTGAGTAGTTATCACTCTGCTACATCGTATCACCACATATATCTACTGCTCTGCATTTTATTTAAAATCCAAAACCTGCTTCAGTCGAACCAATAATCTTTATTTCAATAAAACTAATACATGTTAAGGTTTAGTAAAGTCCGTCGCGTGATCTAAATTCCAATCAAATCATGCTGTTAGTAATGACACTTTTAGTGTTTTTCAACACAACCTTACTGTGAGACTGAAAAATATTGTACATACGATTGTACCACAAACGAGCTAATCTCTTTCAGTATATGCTAACTGCTGTGCTTCTGTTCACTGCACTACGACTGCATTTGTGTGGGGAACTCTATGCGTTCGAATTGTAGGGCGATGGGTTGTGATTTTCAACAAGAGTGCTCAATGTCTGGACTGAAGATACTTGCGTCAGTTCGAAGATCGAAATGCCGTAATTAGACATTAGACTTGTAGTTGGTCAAAATCGAGTACACGATTCTTAACTTTAGTGGTATATGGGTCGGATTTAATCTTGTAATTGCTTTTTTCGTTCTGTCAGCTTAAGTATTCCAGCTTTCGCCATCACGTGATTCCACATGACTGTACATGGTTGTATATGAAGACTTTGAAAAAGCCAAAAAATAGGGAGAACAAAACAGTTTTCGAGTTAAATAAAAATGAATTGTGTCAGGATCTTCACCCTTCTAGCCATTTAGATAGCTGTTTCCTATCATGATTATATTTTTAAATTGATGTTCGATTCTGTCAATCTACGGTTTGAGTTATATCGATTCTTACTGTAACAGTCATCAATCAGATGGATTCTTTTGTTATAAGATAACCGATCTAATAACGTTTAACATATTACAGAGACTTTTTCAATCAAGGAGACACATAGGTTCAAATAATGATAATAAATGAACTTTACCAACTAGGATACAAGAGTTTGGTGAATAGATTCAGAGGAGCAATCTGCCAGAGGCATGATTATAAGAATTATTCTGATTGTTATTTTTAATTAATAAAAACTACAGATGTTCTGAAACTAAATAAACAAAGTCTCACTTATTGTTTCCTTTGTTAAAAATTCACCTCCCAATTATATTGAGAATGCATGTCATATAATTTGTATCATATTACAGTAGACTGTCAGTACGATATTCTTTACTTCTTTTGGAAATTCGTTTCTTTTTTTGTGAATTTTCAAAACAATCCATTTAAATCGAAGTAATTCGTTTAACGTTTGCTTACTATTTTGTATATGTACCTTATCCACAGAGTGCAACACTCAATTTTTAGTTAAGTACGACTAAATTATAAGCTTTTAAATAGACTGACAGCTTTTTTACTCAATGCATTTTGTTGCAAATACTGAAATTATTTGATTTAAGATGTAAATAAGCGAATTAAAGTTTGAATGAATTATGAAGTTTACTAAGCCGTGTCATAACACTAATAAACTTGAGTTAGTGAGATACATGGCAGTGTATTGTTATTTGAATGTGGATAAAAATAAAACTCATGCCAAATCATAAAAATAGCTTTCAACTTAATGATAGATTCTTCTGTTTGGAAGTCCAGGTATGCAGCCGATTCGGTGTTCACGGAAAGTTCATGTAAGGGAGTTTTAAACCCTAATTCAAACTGAAGTATCTGATGAAGCAAATAACATACAGGGCTGCTTCGACTATCGACTACCATGTGAATGCATCTGACGTTTCTTCACTGCCTTTTGTACTAAACTTGTTTGCCAAAGGTCCCAGAAGTGTTCGCATAAGAAAACTATTTGCCATAGTTTGAGCCCCCAAGAAGTATCCAGATCTATATACAAATATGATGGCGATTATTGATGAAAAATGACCTGTTTGGTTTGCAAAATACAAGATTTATAATTTTAAAATGAAGTGTTTGTTAAACTTCAATAAACTTTGGTTGGAAACATCTTTGGATAGAAATTTGTCCGAAAATTCAATTTTAATCTATATTTGAATACACTGAACTAGCTTTCAATCCTAATGGATGAACCAATCAAAAGCTGGTTATATTGTCAGTTGGTAAGCGAAATGAGGTCCTTTACTGAATGATGTTTAGATTGAATTACTCGATGTATCCAATTATTACATATGATTATGTGAGATGAAATGATTTCTCTATGATGTAGTATACTAAATTTCAGTACAAGATTATTTACATACAAATCAGTTTTTTTATTGACAAATGCACAATTGAACTCAATGTAGTAGTTAAAAATTCGAATGACCGAGTACGGTAAAACAGTGCGAAATTCTATTTTGTTCAATATGGCTTTGTCCTGTATAATTTCATTTAATGACAGAATTTCCTGTCAAACACGTCGAATTTTCTCAAACTGTGAAGCTTAGGCGTAGTTGTTATTGTCTCTCGGATCTGTTCCCGGCATTCGTAATTTAGGTTATATTTACAAAGATAAGATTTATAGATAATCTTGAAATTCCACACAATGATACCTTTAGCCATCTGGTAAAGATAACAATTCTTGAATGATAACTTGCAATGCTTTGCGTTATTTCAGGGAATATTCTGGTTAAAGTCTAGGTCTTTAAAGCAACGAAGTTGATTTGGATGTGGTAGAAGTGACAAGAAAAGTTCTCCATATATTTTATCAAAACCATTCTGTCTTTGATGTAATCTCCTCAAAAATGGAGTACGTGCGCATTAATTTAGCTGGGATCAATAGTATTCCTTATGTTTTATCTACACTCTACAATTGGGTAATGGGAGGAATATTAGGCTGATTGAGGATAATTATGAGTGGATCGAAAACATAAGTAAAGTCATGTTCCCTCATTGGCTTCAAGATGTATTTTTTATTTCTACTACAGTATCTAGTTTCCAAGTCATCTTCTGGTGACACTACTATTATTGCATTAGGATATTTAATTTAATTAACGAGGTAGACTGAGAACCTGAGTCCAGCAAGTTAGATTGACCAAGTAAAACAATGAAATCAACTCGTCTAAAAATTAATCCCAGTCGGTAACTGGGAAAAATGTCATGGTAGTTTATACCATGTAGGTTTTAAACGGCATATTGTAACTATATTTGTAAAACGTAATTATCATTGTGCAATATGATAAATCTAGCCCTAAATGACTTGCATTCCATGCCCATTTCGGGAACGTGGAAAGAAAAGAACTTGGATGACCACTTTGGTTAATTAGTTTGCACATGTTTAAAGAGTACTTATTCGATAATTAGTCTTTGGTGATTGCATGTCCATAACTAACCAATCAAATCGTTGCGCAAACGCCCACCACGTCAATTTGGTCTGTTGTGTCTGTAGACTCCCTGTTGCATGTGATCTACCAATTGAAGGACATTATCCTATTATATTAGTGTGACTCATAATTTTTATTTATTTTTACAAGACAATACTGGTCGTTATGTCTGTGCGTTCCACTTGATGACAGTAATTCACTTGATTATTGTACCAATCAAATTGTTTTTGCGTTTGGGAACAGATAAAGTTCAGAGCCAAGTTGTCCTTGTTCTGACTAGCTTTCATATAGACTCTGGGGTCGCCAGTATCGCGTTTACAGTTCTGGTAGAATATCTGTAGGACAAAGTAAATCCTACAGTTGTCATTACTAGAAGTTTTCTGTTGAGTGATTGTAAAGTAGGATGAATTGATACTTGTCGGAAACAATTACATTTGTCCGGATTTACACTAAGTATTACTTGTTAGTGAAAGTAAATGGTTTTCAGGAACGCTTTTTTGCTTAGATGACATACTTAAGCGGTATTGTTGCGGTGTGTGCTACTTATATTTGGATATAAGTAGGATGTAACACCAATCGGAAGTGGAATATG